TCAAAATCCCCAAAAATCGCCTCAAAATCAGACAGAAAGAACCCAAAATATACAAAAATATGGCCCAAAATGGCCAAAAATAACCCCAAAAATATCCCCAAATACACCCCCAAAATATCCCCTAAAATAGCCCCCAAAATCCCAAAAAATTCCCTCAAAACCAGCCAGAAATGGCCCAAAATGTGGGAGTTTGGGGTAATTTTGGGTGGATTTGGGGTGATTTTGGGATGATTTCAGATTTGGGGCGTGATTTTGGCTGATTTTGGGGATTTTTTGTGTGATTTTGGGGTGATTTTAAGGGATTTTGGTGTACTTTTCTCTGGTTTGGGGGATTTTGAGGTGATTTTCTCTGATTTTGGGATTTTTGGGGTGATTTGGGGTGATTTTGTGGTAATTTTCTCTGATTTTGGGATATTTTGGGTGATTTTATCAGATTTTAGAATATTTTGTGGTGCTTTTGGGGGGTTTTGTGGTAATTTTCTCAAATTTTGGGGGATTTTGAGGTGATTTTGTCTGGTTTTGGGATATTTCGGTGGTTTTGGGGGAATTTGTGGGATTTTGGGATGATTTTGTTGGATTTTGGGTTATTTTCTCTGATTTTGGGGTGATTTTGGGGTGATTTTGTGGGATTTTGGGGTTATTTTCTCTGCTTTTGGGGTGATTTTGGGTTATTTTACTGGATTTTGGGGTGGTTTTGTGGGATTTTGGGGTGGTTTTGGGGTGATTTAGTTGGATTTTGGGGTGGTTTTGTGGGATTTGGGGGTGATTTTGTCTGATTTTGGGGTCTCCCAGGCCCCCCCGGGACCCTCCTGGTGGGGACCCGGCACCAGCTGCTGGCCCTGGGGGGTCCCGAGCCCCAAATCCTGCGGGGGTCCCTGAAGCACGCGGCCGCGCTGGAGGCGCACGTCGAGGGGGGGTCCCTGTTCTGGGGGGACCCCAGCGAGGGCCGGATCTACAGGTGAGGGACCCCTCCCCAAATTCCTGTGAGACCCCCCCCGAAAATATCCCCATGGGACCCCAAAAATCCCACCCTGAGACCCCCAAATCCCCTCCAACCCCCTCCCAGTCCATCCCACTGCC